ATACAGACCGGTTCCCGCTCACTGGCTGAGCGAGGCACGGGGGCAACACTGAGGGTTGCAATCCCGTTGCCAGTCCCGGTCTGGTACGGGGGCGACACTGAGGGTTGCGATCTGTTGCCGGTCACGAAAAAAGGAAAAAAAATTAAAAACTTTTGCTTTTCAAAAGACACTGTTAAGGGCCGGCCCGGTGGCGCACCGCGCTAGTGCGCCACTTGGGAAGCGCGGCGGCACTCCCGCCAAGGGTTCGGATCCCACATACAGACCGGTTCCCGCTCACTGGCTGAGCGAGGCACGGGGGCAACACTGAGGGTTGCGATCCCGTTGCCAGTCCCGGTCTGGTACGGGGGCGACACTGAGGGTTGCGATCCGTTGCCGGACACAGAAAAACACACACACACACACACAAAAAAGACACTGTTAAGTGGAAAAGAAAGGTCACAAACTAGCGGGAGTGGGATCTTTGTAAAGCATGTGTCGGAAAAAGAACGTGTATCCAGAACATATAGAGAACTCTCAAAACACCACCATTAGAAATTAAACAAGGATGAAGAGGTAGAGCACAGAGAATTTTTTTTTAAGGCAGTGAGACTATTCCGTATGATACTGTAATGGTGAATACATGACATTACGCATTTGGCAAAACCCAGAAGTGTACAACACAGAGGGAACAGTAATGTTAAATTGAGTTAATAATAATAGATCAATACTGGTTCATAGTTATAACAAATGTACCACACTAATGTAATGTTTATGATAGAAGAAACTGTGTGGATGTGGGGGGAGTTGGTGTGGGGGTACAGGAGCTACCTGTACTTTCTGCTCAATTTCTCTGTAAACCTAAAATTGCTATAAAAATAAAGTTTATTACCTAGAAAAAGAGAAATTAAACAACCCAATTTAAAAAATGAGCAAAAGATTTGAGCACTTTACCAAAGAGATAGCAATGGCTAATAAGCACATAAAAAGATGCGTAGGTTATTAGAGAAATGTCAATGAGACATCAATATAAACCTATCAGAATGGCTAAAAATAAAAAGGCTGACCATACCAACGGTTGGCTAGGCTGTGGAGAAATTGGAACTTGCATACACTGCTGGTGGATATAAATAGTATAACCACTTTGGAAAACAGTTTGGCAGTTTCTTAAAAAATTAAATGCTCACCATATGACCCAGCCATTCCACTCATATCACTCCTAAGTATTTACCCAAGAGAAAAGGATATATATGTCCATGTAAAGACTTGTACACAAGTATTCATAGCAGTTTTATTTGTATTAGCCAAAAACTAAAAACAACTCAGATGTCCCCAGGTGAGTGGACAAAAACTGTGTGTTATAGCCATATAAGAGAATAGCACTCAGCAATAAAGAGGAATGAACTACTGATACATGCAACAACATAAATGAATCTCAAGATCATTATGCTTAGAGAAAGAAGTCACACCAAAAAAAAAGAATACATACTGTATGATTCTATTTATATAAAACTCTAGAAAATACAAACTAATCTATAGTGACAGAAAACATGAGTGGTTGTTTTGGAGCAGGTACAGAAAGGAGTGCAAAGTGGCTAAAAATTTGGGGGGTGATGGGTATGTTCACTATCTTGGCTGTGATGATAGTTTTATGGGTGTTTTCAAACATCAGAATGTATCAAATTTTAAACTTTAAATACGTACTTTAAATACGTTCTGTTTATTGTATGTCTATTATACGTCAATAAAGCTGTTTTTAAAAAACATAATTTGTTGGTTTCTACCATCAGCACCTCTGATTATAAAAATACGTTTCATTAAAAGAAATCAGTCATTTCAACAGTTTCCTACACGCATAAAAATCCATTCAGTATGACAACTCTGAAATGTAAAGACTATTTTCCAAAAGCATTTGATTTCTACCATCAGCACCTCTGATTATAAAAATACCCGTTTCATTAAAAGAAATCAGTCATTTCAACAGTTTCCTACATGCATAAAAATCCATTCAGTATGACAACTCTGAAATGTAAAGACTATTTTCCAAAAGCATTTGAATCTAGAAGCAATGTATGTTATCATGTATTCATACTAGTTAACATGGAAAAATGTGAAGGACAGGCAAAAACATGAAGGATTCATGAAGTTCAGTTTTCTAATGGCTAAGCAGAAATTGTATTATGAAAACAAAGAGAATAGGGAGGCAAAAATAAACAGAAAAACCCAAGCCTAGTGGTGAAGCTAGTAAAACAGAATGAGATCTATGATTATTAGACAACAATAATCTTAATTTGGAGAAAGGCATGGTGTGGCATTCAAGTAATGGGTAGAAGAAAAAGGCTAGTTTTGGCATTCAGAAGTGTAACACTGGAATATAGGATATAGAACTCTGCTACTATCTTTTTTTCCTCAACATCTGTGCATCATGAGACAGGCAATGTTATAACTACAAAATAAGTATCATTAACCTATTTCATTAATCAAGCACTAACTTAAAACTTGTTTATCCAAAAATTGTTACACATAGAAATAAATTTTAGCAATCATAATTCAGTATCTTGTATCAAATTGTTTCATCTGTTTTAAACACGGAAGAATATTTGGAAAAAAAATTTAGGAGTTTATTTTATTAACAAATGCTAATTTCCATTTACATAATAATAAATACTACAATTTGACCAAGTTGTAGATGACATATAAATAATATATCTTGGCTATATGAAGGGATATCAAGTATTTATGATAATTTAGTCTTTATTATGAGTTAATATATTTTGTTATTTAAAAGATATTTATACATAATTAAAGGAACTTTTGCTTTCTTCAACTATGTTTTTAGAGAAATAATATTAGATAGTATTTAAAAATTTTTACCCCAGTTATGTTGAAAAGGAGAAAGCTAGTAAAGTCCACGTGTAAAACAAATGAATTAAGTATGAGCACAAGTGAATAATAAAAGGACAAATTTTAACGCCATCAATGATGGCCACGTACAAGCCAAATAGAGAGGCATCACAATAAGACCTACCCTGTTGATACCTTAATCTTGGATATATAGCCTTCAGAATTATGAGAAAATAAATTTCTGTTGTTTAAGCCATAAAAAAAAGTAATGGCATCTCTTTTAACTGAAATATTTTGTAATATATCTTGAAGGATATTATCCAGTAACATCAAAAAGGATTAACACCAATGTTTTCTTATTATTAACAAACAAGTTAAAATCCAAAGAATAATATAACATACTTGCTACTTTTAAAAAGGAAGAGAAAGAAATAAAAGTATTCTGAAATTTAAGGTTAAAAAGAAATGTACCAAATGAAGGAGAATCTAACAAAATCTAGATTATTAAGCTAAAATATTTTTATTAGAATATTTCATAGAATCAGTGCATTGCTAGGAAGATAGGAAATCACTTAATTAATTTGTTACTAAACTGTACTGTTTACCTGTTCATAGTTAAGTATACAGAAGAATGTTTTCATCTGAATTTCTTTAAAAAAAAAAAACTGTCAGGAAATAAAAGAAATCCAATAATGCACAAGTTTCGTTAACTATGCATTTTTTTCAAGCATTCCAGCCCCACTCAGAAATAACACAAGATATCCAAGTGCTTTAAAATACAAGGCCTTTAATTCAGTTTTCAGTAATGACCATAAATGCCTTCACAAAACCTCTTTTTCACTGTAAATAGAAGGCACTAGGCATCATTACATAACATCCTTAAAACAGTGATTCCTTCTGATGCTGGTGGAGAGAAAACATTAAATGGCAGGGTTTAGATATTAACAAAGTCTTCTCCAAAAAAAGAAAAGATAAATCTGAAAATCACACAAAAAATTATGTTCCTAGTCAGTCTTTTTTCCTCAGGTTCCCAATGCAACTTTAAGTTATTTTTACAAGTACACAATTTGAAATTAAGAGACAGACCAGGTAAGTATGATATGGTTTTCAACCTGTGTTACATTTCAGTTAAATACAGTAAATATGAAGACGCCATTATCATGCTAATTGGCATCTTTTGCTACTCTTTAGCTGTGCAAAATAAACTTGAAATGATACATTGTGTAGTGGTATAATTTAAAAGATCCTTGATATGACACTGACAACTTTCAAATTCTGGTCACAAACTGTATATAAATTGTAAGATTACTAAAATACACCTTTCTGAAAAATAAGATGACCATTTATACCTAAATAAAGTTTCCCACCAAGTTATGAAATACTTTAGCATATAAAATTAGTTGCCCCTTTTCTGAAAGGTCAATTGTTGTTTCACAAAATAACTCATATGATCGAAGGCAAATGATTTCTTTCAAATGCCATATTCTCTCTATGACTTTGAGGTATGCTGCAAGAGACTATCAGTGACCAGCCTGTGCCAAAAAAAAAAAAAAAGTATCCATGAGAAAAGGGCACATTTGGGTATGAGAACACAGTCACAAACAAAAGAAACCTTCCTTGGGTCAGTAATGCCCTTAAGAATTACATCAACAGAGAACAAAAAATAGCTTCTGAAGCCATTTGTTTTACAAATACATACAACTAAAATTGGTTATTTAGAGGGTAATTCAAGACACGCTATTTACATATGTGCTATGTCATGTGTGCCTATTTTAAATAGTGGCTTCTGCAGGACACTCCTATTCAAACACAAACCAACCTTGTTCTACCAAATCACATTCTTCTATTTTTGGCAAGGTAGTATAGTTTAAACAAAACACAAAAACAACAACATAAAACTAGCCTAAACAGTGATTCAGGCAAAAATTCCCATGTCAAACAAGAGTAGGGAAGTATTTTGAGAACATTAACTTTGGGAGAAAAACACTACCAAACAAATAATGCTGGAAATATATCTCTAAACAGTGATTCAGGCAAAAATTCCCATGTCAAACAAGAGTAGGGAAGTGTTTTGAGAACATTAACTTTGGGAGAAAAACACTACCAAACAAATAATGCTGGAAATATATCTTATAATCACTCAAATAACTGTCATATAAAAAGTTTATGAATGCCTCTGAAAAAAGAATAATTCAGGTTAAAAAAAGAGCTGATTATGAAGTTCATAATTAGGATGTCTAAAAAATATCCAAACTAATTTTAAACAGGCCCAATTAGTAAAGGGTAAAAGAAAACTTCCATAATTTATAGAGGGCTGGCTAGCTAGCTCAGTTGGCTAGAGCGCCGTGTTATAACACCAAGGTCAAGGGTTTGGATCCCCATACAGCCCAGCTGCCAAAAAAAAACCCCAAACCCCCCTGCCAAAACATAGTTAATACTAGATTCCTGCCTTTGGAGAAACTGATAAGATTAAATTTAAAAAAATAATGAAATGACCTATGTGACAAATGGAAAAAACCCACCATGCCTAAGAAACATATTTTTAAGCAATGATTACTCAATAGAATGCCTTATAAAATTACATATCATAATCTAGCTAAGAAGAAGCTTCAACACTAGCAGCTGGACCTCATGAAACATGTAGGACAACAAAAGGCACTACATAAGCATCAATTACTTCTAATTATAGTTGAACAGTTTAAACTTTTCCTTCTTAAAAAGATAGCCAGTGTAAATGTTTTTATATCCCCCTGAGTTTTAACATGATTGGGCAAAGCAGCACCAATTTAAAAAAATATCTGCAATGCCAGCACTGCAGTTTGGAATCACTTATACTGATGGCCCCACAGGTCTCTCATAAGAGCACTTTAGAACATGATTAAAAATATAGAAATGCCTTTCAGTGTTTCAGTATTAAAGTGGAACTACCACAGATACTCATTTTTAAAAATAATGCACTAAAAAGGTCTGTTTATACAACAGAGTCTTTCCACCCTGTATCTAGCATCCACGGCTATTTTCCACTCTGCTGCCACCGAGTTCTCCTTTGTGCGTCTGGATGAAATGTCAGTATGCTTCATGGTGCACAATCCTTTTTGGCTAGAAAATACTGGCAAATATCATGTCATGCCTGTTTTGAGCAGTATGCTTTGCAGGTCCTCTGGCAATGCTAAGATAATTGCATCTATGTGTGTCCGTAACTTTTCCACAGTGTCAGGTTTCACAGGTAAACGCTCTCGATCTGCCTGCAACTACACAAGGAACATTTGGTAGCATTTAAATTATCCTCTGAATCTGTATTAATACATTATATTCTCTAAATAAACAGTTTTAATGGTCTAACAATTTGGACTTTCGGACTTAGACTAGAATTTACAGAAATGAAAAAAGCAAAGAACATGCCATTCAAACAATACATGGCTAAGCTCAATGAAAGGCTTCTATGTAAAATCACTGATAATACCTAGGCATACTATGTGGTATTAAACGTGACTGTTTTTGTAGAGCTCATTACACTCCATGTAAATAACTTTAGAATAATATGGCATTCGTTATGATCTGCTTGTGTGACCACAAGGTATTTTCAGTCATATCTACCATCAATTGACCAATCTCAAATCTTCCCATTTAAAGTTACTTCTGTGATACATTTATGGATTCTCAGCTCAAATGAGAGGAAAATATCTTCACAGGACAGTCAATTTAATCTTTGGCTGCTTTGGCTACATACCAGCTTATTTTTCAACTTCAATACAAGGTCTACTGTTTCTACTTCTGTGTGTTTCTGAATCCAGAGAAGTAAGTCCTAGAACAATAAGCAAATCCCATATCAATAAGTACTCAAAATAATATTTAAACCTCTCTATTTCAATAGGCAAGGTAACTGGGAAGGAAGGACAAGAAGAAAAAGAAGAATGGGGTATTTAACCCAGATACAGCATTACAGTGCAAGAATAATTCTCATGAAATTCTAGTAACTGTTAATTAGATAATTTGACATTAGCCAGGACAATTGTCTATTATTTGGAAGTATAACAAAATCTAAGAAAATTTCTTTCTGAGATGGCCCTTTTAGGTTACGGAAGAAAAACAAAATTGCAATTCAAATTGCAATACTAACCCCTACCCCACCAAGTAGTGAGTAATTTATAAGGAACATTAGCTAACAAATCAAGATAACTGTACATGAATGTATTACTAGATATAAACTTTGCATCTTCAAATAAGCTCTTCCTGGGCTTACGTTGTGGTTGCCTTCATCATATTACCTTCCTCAAAGCCACAGTCACTGGGAGTTTAGGATTAAACAGTTAACACTGAGCTTAGCCCATCTAAACATTTAAAGGTAAATATAAATGAAAATAAGACTATCCTTTATATTTTCACAAATAGTTTAATTTAAAATAGCCTGGTGATAAATTATAGAATATGAAAAATCAGTCCAAATGCATAAAAAAATTGTTATTACTAACTGGAAAAAGTGAATAAATCATACGGGAAAAGATCTGGAGTTTGTGTGGTTTTGAATCCTAACTCCATCCAGTAGTGTGCTGGTAAATATTTAACAACCAGTTATCCAAATAGTCTCTGGTTTGTAGCATTTGTAATATTCCCGCTATAGAAAATTTCTAGCTACCAACCTGAGGTAACTGAATGCAGAGCTGGGAAGAGATGTGCACAATCAACTCTTGTGAGCTAGTGCAAGTGGACTCCAGCACACTGCTGGCTCCACTACTTAGCAGTGATGTGATCTTTGGGAAGTCATTTAACTTCTAAGCTGCAGGTGTCCCATAATGCAGATCATACACACCTACCTCAATGAACTGTTGTGAAGTTTAAAAGAAATTATCCATATAAAGCACCTATACAGTCCCTGGCACACAGCACATGATCTAGAAAAGTCAGACATTATTACAATTTATAAAGAAGTGGATATGGGTATAATCAGCAACCTCTAAGGATTACTTTCAATGTTTGTTAATCATACAAACACGCTGTTTTCTAACCTCTTCACAAAGAGCTTCTAGATGGAGCGCCTCCAATTTTTGTGTCATTTCTTTCCGCCGGGTCTTGAACCAACCATCAAAATTTGGAGACTTTAGAAAATGCCTATAGAAATAAATTTTTAAAAAGCCAAGTTTGATTGTGACTTACTTCGTCTCCTCAATACCTTTCCTACTTAGAGCTTAGAAAACCATGTCAAACAATGGAATTGTTAAAAAATAATCTAAGCTTAAGCCCAGTTTTTTTGTTTTATTTTTAATAAAGCACTACAGATGGATGAAAAAAATGGAAAAAAAGACTAACCGGTAAAGTCCAATCCAATCGCCTTTTATTCTAGAGGTTAGCTGAGGTCCTGTTTTCTCAAGCGTTTTCATAAATTCTTCTGGAAGAAACTGTCTTAATTGGGGTGGACTCTAGAAAATAGGACATACTATATTTAGAAATTAGAAATGGATACATTCACAGAAGTTAATTACAGTCAGAAAACGCAAATAAGAATTTATTTGAATATGTTCATACCTTCCATGGAGAAATACTTCTCTGCAAAGGCATCAAACTTGCTACATATCTTTCCTAAAACCAAGAAAAAAAGTTAATAAAAGTTAGGTGTTCTTACCCAGAGAGTTTTCAGAAACATTTAAACAGATCTACTTAAAAGAAATGGGTTTCCAAGTTTTTCATCATATGTTCTTTCAATGGATAGCAACACTCCATCACTCCCCAGAAAGATATAGCTACATTTAGATTGAGTTGGGAAGTCAGATTTTCAATAAAAATCTAATTAAATCTTGGATAAGCCAAGGGACTACATATTTTTAATGATAATAATCATTGAGTAACTATATGCCAGAAAATGTACTCAACACTTTACATGCATGACCTCTTTCCTTGCAACCATCCCGTGTAGTTGGTATTATTGGGAAACTGAGGCTTCAAAAGGCTAAGTAACCTGACCAAGGTAATACAGCTTAGTCTTGAATTCAGGTCTACTTGACTTTAGTCCATGCTCTTCTGCACTACAGTAAAGTTTATTTACTTAAACAAATAGATTTACTTTTTTTTCTTTTTTGCAGCCAAACTCTTGACTTTGGTGTTACAACACCACGCTCTGACCAACTGAGCTAACCAGCCAGCCCCAAATAGATTTATACAGAACAAAATAAACCACCATCCATAGACAAAGAATTTTTTCCCCAAAAAATATAGCAGCAAAGATTTCCAAGTTGCTCCCATATAATGTTCATACATAAATTACCTTACATTAATAATCACATAAAATCTCTTTATGATGAAGTCTTCAGAACAGGAGCACATCATGGTATTGCCTATATTTTAATGTGACACTCCACTGAATTTCTTAGAATAACCATATCTAGTCATTTATTCCATAAATATTTGCTACCAAATACCAGACTGAGGAAATGATAATGAGCAAGACAGATATGGTCTGGGTCATCACGAAGCTACAGTCTCACAAATATTACATCAAACTGTGCGCAAGAAAACAATATCAGAGAAAGAAGCTCCAGGGTAACCCTTTTACAAGGTGCAAAATGCATTTAATTACATAATATTTCACATCTATTATCTCATTTAAGATTCACAACAACCTCAAAGGTATTTAGGAAAATGGAATCAGCCACATTTTACAAATTTTACAGATTGAGAGAGACAGGAAGTCACTTACAAAAGTTGCACAGTTATCCTAGAACAAATAATCCAGGTCTCTTGCAAAGTGTTCTATTTTTAATCACTAAACAATCCAGTAGGTAAAACACACAACTCAAGATAAGCTTTTGGAAAATGGGAAAAACATTCTTATATTCTTCAACAAATAATTAAATTAAGCAAAGATGTATTTGTTAACTTACTAATGGAATGATGAAGCTTTGTGTCAGTTCCAAAAAATATCGTCGGAGAATAACGCTTTGAGCCTCAGAAGGACGCTTCTGTTGTACACCCTTTAAGAGAGGAAACAATAAGAATTTATATTGGCGTGTGTGTGTGTGTGTGTGTGTGTGTGTGTGTGTGTGTGTGTGTGTGTGTGTGTGTGTGTCTGGCTAGAATTGGGTTTGGAACCCTTGACCTTGGTGTTGTAACATCAACGCGATCTAACCAACTGAGCTAACAGGCCAGCCCTGAATTTACATTCTAGTGTCAGAATATAAAACAATGGGTAATTATCAAGTTCAACATTTGTAAATATACATTTATAAGTAATATGAAAAAGAAAAACTAGAACTTCATCTTGAAGTAATTTAAAGTTCATTTGCTCCCTGTAAAAAGAATCTTTAGAGCAAAACATGAGACTTTAGCTTAAGGAACATCATTTATGTCATACTTAAAAATATCAGTTCACAATAAAGACAATCTTTTTTTTTTTTAACCAGGCCTGACCCCTGAGGCCTCTGAAGACAATCTTTACTTCATATTTACTATCTTAATACTATTAATTTTTTAAAATATGCTAACTATCCCCTATGGTAAGATACTAATTAAGTTTCCTCAGGTAGAATCTATGACTTTTTCATTATTCCTCCCGTTTCTAGAAAGACTGGCACTTGTTTGTAGATACAGACCCAATTCAAGCCCACAATTTCTATTACTTTAGTCTCCTAATTTTTACAAAGGTTTGGTTCAAAAGAGAGACCTACATCTCACATTATTATACATAAAGCATATATTACCTAACTGCATATTACATACCCAACAAAAAAATTTAAATTAATAATATGAGCAGGTAATTACCTTCTGTAACTGTTTTATGATCTCTTCATCTCTATTTAGATATGGCTTATAAGAAGTATAAACTCCTAAGAAGTGAAGAAAAGAAGGTAAACAAAAAAAAAACCCAAGTACCCATCTAAGTATATATTTAAAAATTAATGAAAGTCAATACCAGGTTTAGAATCCAGAGTCTTTAGGTTCTTCAATTTTTTCACTTTAACCTGCTTAGGAATTTCACCTGAAGAAACAATTATAAAGATTATCATCATTATTCTAATCATGTACATTACAAAACTGTAATTTTATAAGATTGGTAATATACTGTTTATTGCTTAGTCAACTAAAGCATTCTTCATTACATCAATTAATATGAGGGGTCTTCAAAAAGCTCACAGAAAGATGAACATTATCGTTTAATTCAATTTTTCCACAAACTTTTGGAAGTACCCTCATATTTAAGAGTTCATTCCTGGTATTGAAAACTGGATAAAGGGAACACTGGATTATTACAACATGAAGCAATTCATATAAATTACATAAAATGTATTGGATCTTTCATCTATCATTACTTAAATTTTTCCCTTTTTGTCACTCAACCTGTAATTTAAAATTTATGTGCCAAATACATGAAATTGAAAATTTAAATGCAAATAGGAATAAAATAACCTTTAAGAGTAAATGGAGGGCCAGCCCCGTGGCGCACTTGGGTGAGTGCAGCGCTGGGAGCGCAGCGACGCTCCCGCCACGGGTTCGGATCAGGACTGGCCGGTGTGCTCACTGGCTGAGCACAGTTTAGGCGGTGCCAAGGGTTGCAATCCCCTTACCGGTCACGAAAAAGACCAAAAAAAAAAAAAGAGTAAATGGAATACAAAGCAATTCCTAAGTGACTATGCAGATGAATCTTTAAAGGTTTTTTTCTGATATCTCCTGAAATTCTGTTTTTGTACTGCAGAAACTTAACACAGCCATTAAATGGAGATAGTGTGTGCAACCACAGGTCTGAGCCACAGACAGACAGGACTCCTGAGAAGAATGCTGTATTAAATAGCTTGTGTACTATATGCAGTGGCCCTGGTCCTGAGGTCGAGGGAAGCTATAACCTAAACCACTCTTATAATAGGCATTAAAAATGCCTAAGGATACACACTTAAAAGTGTCATGAACACACCTAATTTAACAGACTTTCTTCTCCCTTTCTCTGCATAAAAGAACCTAAGAACTGAAAGACAATCTAGAGATTATCTAATTCAAGCCTCTAAATATAATGAATATCTTTGTTTAAATCATTACATAAGATCAAACTGCTAATAGTGGTATATACTCATATGGGGGGTGGGATTATAGGAACAGGGAACATTTTCACTTGTATTCTTGTACTGTCAAAAAATTTTAAGAGCATGTACTATGGTAAAACATTTTTATACACTATTTACTTTGAAATAATTTCAATCTTACAGAAAAGTTGCAAGTCTATATTCCAATTTTGTTAACAGCCTCTTAACTTCAAAGACATACTTGTGAAAGAAGAAATAGACTTATTTTTTCATTTATTCAGTAAATATTAGTAAAATGCAGGGTACTAGTAATACAGAAACAAAACAGCTAATTCCTGATATCAAGGAGCTCACAGACCAACGGCAAAATATTACAAATAAAGAAAAATGACAATACAGAGGGATACACAGAATTACAAACAAGATACCAGGGAAACACAGAAGAGTGTCCTGGCCAAAGAGGAGTGAGAAAATTATTGAGGATTCCTAAAAGAGGTGACAATTAAGCAGTTTAAAAAAAAAAAATCATCTGTGGGAAGAACAGGAAAAGACTTTTTAGGTAAAGAGTTAAATCCAGAAGCATGAAGAGCACATTGCTTAAATAGCTGAAGATAATGGTAAGGATAGTAACAGCCACCATTTACTGAATATTTAATCTGTGCCTATCTCTGGTCTAAGCAAACTGCACAAGTTATCTCATTTAATCTTTACTATAAAAGTATGTTTATGATGCCCATTTCACAGATGAAGAAATTAAGGCCTGGACAAAACTGACATTTACCTGGTATGTACCAGTACCAGCTGTTTACTGCTGACATCCATTCTGATTGATGACTGGCCCATTTGGACAGTTTGTTTGCTGTCATAACTAGACACAGAGGAATAACTTATCCAAGGACCCACAGATAATATGCTTAAGCCAGGGTATTAAATAGGGAAATCAAGTTCCAGAGGTGTCACTCTCAACCACTACACTATAACAGCAGGAATGGAGAGAGTGCTAAGACTGGCGGGAGATGAGGCCAGAGAGGTACTCAAGGGACAAATCAAGAGGAACTATAAAGAGGTCTGACAGAGAAGGCAACTGAGAGATTGAAAGCATGGGCTCATGGGGAATAGGAAATGAGGAAAGTACAATGACATGATCAAATCTGCATTTTTTTTTTTTTTTTTTTTTTGTCTTTT